ATTGTGCTCCAGAGGGGGAAGTCACAAACATGACGTGGTTTTCACATGATCGATGTCAGTTTCGGACCAGCGTAGTGTCCCAAAATTTTGGGCATAGCTTCCGCATAATTCTGTTGTAGGGCCTTTTTGCATTTTCTCAAGGCCGTTGCGCTCCAGAGTAAGTCACACACATTCTGTCGCATGAGTCTCTTGTATCGCCGTTGACACTCAAACAGAACCAACCGAAACGCAGGCCGAAACAGCTTCCTTGTAATTTCTTGGGAGACGTAGGTCCAAAGGGTCAAAGTCATTGTACTTTGGTACGATTCACAAACATCGGGTCCCTCACCAAGGCAGTGTGAGCCTCCTGTGGTATCCTTTCTGATGGTTTGGGTCAAAATCGAAAGTGGACTACAGACTTTGAGCAAAAGTTTCGTTCTTGGTTGTGGGCAATGGCCAGCACCGTGTCCCAAAATTTGGGCATGGCTTCCGCGTATTTCTGTTGTGGGGCCTTTTTGCGTTTTCTCAAGGCCGTTGCGCTCCAGAGGAAGTCACACGTATTCTGTCCCTCATGATATGAGTCTCTTGTATCACCGCCAACGCCCAAACAGAACCAACCGAAAACGTAGGCCGGCACAGCTTCAGTGTACTTCTTGGGAGGGTATGTCCAAAAGTCTCAAAGTCGTTGTGATCTGGTACAATTCACAAACATCCAGTCCGTCGCCTAGGCAGTGTGAGCCTCCTGTGGTATCCTTTCTGATTACATGGGTGCAAATCGAAAGAGGACGACTACAGACTTCTTTGAGTACAAGTATCGTTCTTGCTTGGGGGCAATGAAGTCATGAGTGGTACCCAGTAGCTATCCAATCTTTTCTTCCGAGAAAGAAAGAAGATCATGTCTTCTTGTGTGTGTCTTCTTGTGTGGCTCTTTTAAGAGCTCTTATTGCATGGCTGATTTGTGGCGTCATCAGTGCCATACTAGTACCATACACAGAGGAACGGATTTGTTCAATACTGGTTGCGGCCAAGCCGCCATTTCTACCATGGCGTATTCGAGTGATTTACTTTCACAGTTACAGTACTGTCAATGCTTCGTGGATGCTGCCTTTGTGGCACAGCCGATGGGATCTTGTAGTAGTGGACAGAGTGACGAGTCTACTACTCGTGACTACTATTAAACGAGGCTGTTTGGTGACGGCCACGGCTGAACGGACAGCACCAGTGCGACCGCAGCGGTCTAATTACTCAAAAGCGAAAACATGAGCAATGCACTTGTGTAGCTCTAGTAACCATCTGTAGGTGACCATTATCATTGCTCGTCATGGTGCTGTTGAAAGAGGAATGAAGAAGAATGAGGAGGCTGCAGAGGTGCGGCAGATCGGATCGGCGGTACATTCCTCTAGACGCACACTTGCTCCTACTTTATGCTCTCGGAGATCACGGAGTCTGAGCTCTTGCGTCAAGATAGCTATATAGTATTATTCATGTTTGGCAATTGTTCGTTTCACGCAACTCGCTTCCAGATGCTGGGTCGGTTGTTTGACCATGGCAGGCAAGGCTCAATTAGCTGCACTCTCCGAGACGTACACTGCATTCGTAGGATTAGTGAAAATACTGAAGCAGAGTGGTCCCCACCAATAGAGCCAGAAAACAGCAAAGAGCATGCGAAAGGATCACCGAGACACGATCTTGCGGTTCTCTCGACGAAAGACAAAACTTGGCACCAGCAGCAGCGCCGAGGGGGGCTCAAGCTCCCGCCCATTGATACGGCCAACGTTGGAGTTGAAAGTGTGGTCCGTCCCCCAATGCTTGAAGGCAACTCCTGAGAGCCACCATCAACCAGCTTCCAATCATAGCAACTGCTCGTGACCTTGCTCTTAGCGCTGAAGGGCTTAACCTTTAAAAAGCAGAGGACAATCAAGGCAACCAAGACGAGCAAGAAGAGAAGCGTGCAAGTTGACTTGCCAAGAAACGAAAATTCGTCCGCAACATTAACGTGCACATATTCGCTAGCTAGAATAGGCATGAGTGCCATGGGCCATCTGAAGCAGCAGCAAAAGCAACGAAAGCAACAACCTCATCATCGTGGATTAGTACGGTACCAGTACGGTACTACCAGTAGTATCCTGTTGCATGGGGAAGGTGGTAAAAGCTACTTGCTAGTAGTATATCCGAGGGTCGGTGCTGTTTCCTTGGTGACCGCCATGGCCAGCTTGGGCGGTCGTGCCGATCTCTTCCAACGTGCGACGCTGGCCAATGACGCAAAGGGTTAGAGTTTTCTTAATCAGATCTAACCCTATTGTAGATACCTTTTGTTGGGAAATTCAGTGCCGTCATTCGCGACCATGTCGCCGTTGCCATCGGCCATCGATCGCATCCATCGTCGAACATTGGCCCTGCTAACATACCAGTAGTCTCTCATTCACTAAAGCATAACATTGTATTCAAGTACAACCAGCAGGATGATGAACTCGAGTCGACTGATTGCGTTTCCAGCCAGCCTCTGTATGTTGGTGTTACATGTACAGTTGCAGGCATCCTTGACTTGCGCTTTTGTGCCCTTGACCAATCCCGCAGGATCCTTGGTACCGGTAAGGCACCATGGTGCTAGTATGGAATTGCATGAGTCTACCGATACGTACAAGTATCCGTGGGAAGGTCCCTTACGAGACGCCAAGATGCAAAAGTTTGCCCAAGAAGAAACGCTCCTCCAAATCCACTGCTCTGCTACGAGTACTAGTAGTAAAGAAGAGTTTGAGTCGACTGTGCTCCCCAAAGTGCAAAAGTTCGTTCAGTCGTTTCCTTTTTCGGCAGTACTTCCGGTACAACCACTCCAATATTTGCCCACTGCAGATGGCGGAGTGGAAGTTTTGTTCATGAGAAAGAAGACGAAAGAAAAGGGTAGCATTGATGGAGGCTTGTGTTTTTTCGTGATTCCCACTGGCAGTGGCAATAATAATGAATCAAATGAATTGGAAATTGTTGTCAAGAGGAACAGTGAAGGGCAAACCTGCGGGAAAATGTTTTCTGAAAAGTTGGTGGTGCAAGCCTTTGTGAGTTCCTTTACAGGCAAGGACGTGGAGGAAGGAAGAGCACCACTGACCAGCCAAGAAGCACCCGGCAACGAATTGGTCAAGGTAGAATCTGTCTTTCACAAGTGGATGGATGGATTGGTGGCATGAACAGGAACATATCACTTTATAGCTTGATTTTAGTATGCTGCCATCTTATTAGTCAAGTTAGATTGCTACGAGCTAGAAAACTACACCACTGTTTCGTTCTAGCAATTTTAGTTTGGCTTCGATAGTTGCACAAAGATGCGTCTATCTAAAGCTCCATCGTTTGTTTTGGTTTGTTGTCTTTTGAATTGTGTTATGACTGAGCCACTAATACCGTCTTTTGGAATTCCAAGTATTTAGCAACATCCTCTTTGAGTTCACTGAGGTACTTTTGAGTGAGTTGAATATTTTCTTGTCCCTTTCTACAAGACTTGTTCATACCAATGAGATCAAAGGTGACGTTGTTCAATAGTTGTATAGCTTGTTCGCCACCAAACTTGAATTTTTTCTTGGCCGCCATCATTTTTGCCTTGCGCAGTTCCAGATCATATGTCTTGGTAAATTCCAAAATGGACTCGTAGTCGGTCTTGTCCACACATCCCTGCAAAAAGGCAATGCCTCCACTGGGATCTTCTAGTTCAAAGCGAATTGCAGCAAATGCCTTTTCCACTTCGGATGCATCATAGTACACTGGTTCTTCTTCAGCTGCAGCAGCCACAGGGGGCACCAACATTCCAAGCATGGAAATTCCTGAAAAACTAGATACTGTAGATACCCATTGGCGGCGGGAGAAAGAAATTGGTTCTGCTTCTTCGTTCTTGGATCCAAAATCTTCTGAGCCATCTCCCTTGACAACCTTAACTTCTCCTAAGCTTAAGCCTGGAACATGACCATGGACAGCTCTGGCTTTGCTGTGTGTAGAAGTTGACAATTGCAAGGGAGAAAATGCCTCTGCTGCAGGAACAACTCCAGAACCTACTAGAGCTTGTAGAAGCAGAAAACTCAGAAGCAGTTGCATCATTCTTGAACTCAACAACTCAAATCAATCACACTAAATACTGTGCTGTGCTGTCAATGAAAGCCAACTGTTGCAATGGAACACCATCCAACAGATAGACCAACAAACATGGGGGAGGTGTCAACCCCAAATCAAATCCATCATCTTTTCCTTGCAGATCGTGGCTTCAACTGAGGCTGACGTCAGCCTCATTATTTCAACCCTGGCTCTACTGTAGACAACATACGGCACCTTGGCCAACCCTCGATTCTAAGATAGATAAGACAACTATCTGTTCGGACCAGGTTGGTCTGAGCTTCTAATAGGATGCACAGATCTTTACGTAACCGGACGTTACCCATGCAGATGGCATGGTTATGACCTACTATAGTAATAGAGAGCTACACAGCTACCTTATACCGGTAGTTGGCAAAATTCAAATGTACAGTTGCATATTTATTTTATTTGGGTTGATTGAATCGAATCGAATAATCAAATCATTCGTTGGTCTATTCTTCGTCCTGTCAGGACCGACGATGCTTCGCTTTGGAGGCCGAGGAGCTGTTTGACTTTGTGTTTGATTCTTTGTAGAATTCGATAATGAGGTTTCCTCGTTTGGGTCCACCCTTGATTGGCATTCCCTTTCCCGTAATGGTGAGTGATTGTCCATGTCTTAGAAAGGAAGATTTCTTTGGTAGAGTCCGACTCCACGCTTCCCCATCCGGCAAGACCAGCTCAATATGGATACTGGAAGTACTAGTATTCTCCTCATTCGATCCACCAAGATGTTGCATTTGATCCAGATTGTACCGGTGGACTAGATCATCCCCTCGTCGTTCCAAGAATGGATGTTTCTTTTCTTGAATGATAAAGGTAATGGGAGGGAGCCAACTGTTGTTTATTCTGGAGGCTTCAAACTTAACTTTGGTCCCTGGTTTCCATCCTTTCTTGAGTTGAATGGTGTATATTTTGGATCTGTCTTTCGCAAATGCCACCTTTAGTTTTTTGGTAGCACCGGTCGCCAATTCTTCCAGAGAGCAAGGGCAATCCTTGGTAATGGGTTGCATTTGTCTATGGTTGTTGTAGTGGTTGTTGTTGTTGTAGCTGGCGGAGGATGGTCCTTGCTGTCCCTGTCCCTGTCCCATTTGTCTAAGAATATCTGAGAAATCCAAGTCGATTCCATTTCCTCCATTCTTTCTGCCTCCAGTACTGCCAGTGCCAGTAGATCTACTAGCCCCCCGGAATAGATCTTGTAGATTGATACCATCAGCAGTACCGGTAGTCCCATCCCCACCAAATAAACCTCCTAGATTGCCTGGAAAGTTTCCTTGAAATCCTTGAAAGTTGTTGGAGGAGAAAAAGTTTGGCATTTGGTTTTGTCCTTGTGATTGTGATTGGTATTGTCCAGCAGTGAAAAAGGGAGGCACATTGACATTGGGTCCACCTGTACCTGTACTGGTAGATCCAGTACCTCCTTGTCCTTGTCCATGGTTGAGAGCCGCTTCTCCAAATTGGTCGTACATTTGCCTCTGTTGAGAATCACTGAGTACATCATACGCCTTTTGGATTTCTTTGAATTTGTCTTCATTGCCGCCTTTATCTGGATGTTCTTTCAAGCAACATTTGCGGTACGCTTTCTTCAGGTCTTTCTCACTGCACCGCTTGGAAACTCCCAGAACATCATACAGGTTTCTACCAGTACTAGCACCTCGGACAAGACTGAAGTTTGTGGCACACAGAAACAAACACCACACCAACCAAGGCACTGATAACACTCGTTGTCTTCTTCTTCTGATCATTCTGACTAACTAGCAAGTAGTCAAGTCATGCATCAGTCTGAAGCTCTAATAGGGGCTAAGCTTCTGTTGCTGCAGCATGCATGCAAGTGGACAACAATGGGAAATGGGCGGAAGACGGAAATCCTTGAATCTGAAGAAAGATATTACGGACTTCCACGTGGAATTTGATGGGATAGAAGAAATAAGCCAATCAGGCTACTATGTGTGCCATCCGCGAAGTCTTTGGCCAGAGGGTCAGGTCCGAACTGGGATGTCAACACCTTCGTTACCAGACAAAGCTACACTGAATGCTAGATCTACATTGCTACAGTAGATCTTCTAGCTGTAGCATGCATGCCCAGACACTGCAATGTAACATTTTAACTATTACAATAAACTTCCGGCATCCTTGACAACACACGTTCCATTCTGAGCACCGATTCATCATTCAACATTTTTAAAACTCTCTGGCAATGACAACGGTGCTTTAGGAAGTAAATTGATAGAAAATACAGTAGATTGGGTCCAATTTCATTTCCCCATATCTCCTGTCATTTTTATTATGCCAAATAAATTTTCAAAACTTTTTCCTTGTCATGTACTGCCTTTTTGTTTGTTGCTGCTTACAATCTTTTTTAGTTTTTGCACACTTTTGTTTTTTCTTTCTTTGTTTATGCGTTCTACACTACCACCATTGTTGAATGGATCCAGCCATGGAGACACAAGATCCCAGGGCAGCAAAATACCCAATCCATTTGACGACTCCTCCTTTTTCGTACCTGGCAGTCTCCACCTTGAGACTTGTGTCTGAATATCCCTTTTGGTACAAAACACTGCCAAGGCAAAACAAGACCCCTGAAGCAGCACAAGTCAACGGGTGCTTGAGTCCTCCAATCAGAGAAATCACGGTGAAGTGGGTCAAGTGCTCAAAGTAATTCTGGTGGCCTCTCTGCACTCGATTGAAGTCATCTGCGTACTTGTGCACACCGGGAACTCCGTACAGGTTGGGGTACTTCACATCAAACGAGTCACGAGCTTTCATCACAGAACCACTCATGTACACATTCGTAAACAAAGGCAACACACCGCAGGCCAAAATCACAAACCCGTACTGATCAGGAACACTCATTTCATACACCATCCTTCAACCTTCAACAAACCCTCTTTTTAAAAATAGATAGACTACAGTGTAAAGTAAATAAATGAACAAAGCGAAAAATGCGCCAATCGATCGACGCTTTCGAGTTTGTTGTTCCTGACACTTCGAATGGCGCCGATTTCGATGCCGTTCACCACGACTTGACTTACTCATGATTACACGTGGAACCACAAACCCAATCGCCTGCACAGCTGCTAAATACTCAAGAAAAGGTTTAGAGCAGGTGCGGAGCCAGTCAGGCCAGATCCAAGCAATGCTCTCTGAAGGCCAAACAGCAATAAAGAACGAACAAGAAAAGGACAACAATGTCATACAAAGTCAAAAACTATTTTAGTTCGTACTGGTGAATGCTACTGCGGTTGCGGCTGCTGCTTTTCTTTTTTATTATGCAGGGCCTTTGCAACACGCACAAGTAAAGGTGGTCAAACCTAAGCTTGAATGATGTCGGTGGGAATGCCTCCTTCTTCCGTCGCGTTCATCACGTATCCGTCGTGGATCAAATCGGCGCCCAACGTGCCAACCAAGCTCTGCAAATACTCGTCGCCTTGAACTCGAACATGTTCCTTCTTGGCCTGCTCCAATCGCTCTTGGATGTTCAAACGCTTGGCCTCCACGTCGTAGCCGGGGCGAGCCAAGAACGACTCCAAGTACTCCACGTTCTTTTCCCACAACGAAACCTCACGCCGTTGCTTCTTCAATAGACGCGCCTTGTACCACTTGCTGTTGATCAACGCCTCGCGAGTAAACATGGCGCGGATCGCCGGGTCGTCAATCTTCTTCCCATTGTAGTGACCGTACGCCATCACATGCAGCACCGCCCGCAATGGAGGACACGCATCCTCAATAATGCCGTCCTTGAAGTACAACAGCGCAGACTTCTCCATCGCCTGCGCAATGTTCTCGATTCCGTCCACAAACACGGCCATGTCCTGCTTCTCGGGCTGAAGCATCTCCTCCGTGAACACTCCAGAAGGATTGTCAAAGATGCGACAGAAAAAGTTGTGCACAAACCGCTTCGTAATGCGGTACCCAAGACGAGACGCAGGAATCTGACGACCTTCGTACTCAAAGTCCGCAATGGGCTCGAGGTATCGTTCCTTGATCAAGTACTCTGGATCGCGCTCCTTGGGGGTCATGCGGCACCACAACTCGGGGATCAACAACGAAATGTCGTGGTCAACCTTGTACTTGGGGCCAATCCAACCGGCTGCACTGCTAAAGCCACCGTACTCCGTCAAAAGCATCGACACGAGCATATTGTTCAGATCGGCCGTGGCTCCAATGGCGTTGAAGGGACCCTTGGACAAGGCACCCTCCGAACCGGCTCCAGTCGTCGAAGGACTCTTTCCAGTCACACAGCAGACGTAGTCCATGAACAACTCGGGAAGCTCCTGGTAGTGAAGTGGGTTGTACACCGCAAGAGGGCGGATCTTCGTGCCGTTCAGCTCATCAGGAGGGTTGTTGCGCCGACCACTCAACACTCCAGCCACTGGGAACACGCAAGCCTCATCCACCGACAAGCGACGGTACAAACGGGCACCGAGTTCGGCAACGTACCGGTCGCGAGGGACTGTAATATCCGGTCGGACCTGCAAGTAACGAGGATTCTTCGTGGGCTTGCCGTCGACCAAGCGAGGCTTGGCTGAGCAAATGGCAACACCCTCGCCAGAGGAAGCCTCCACCATGTGCTTCTGCATCGGTTCCGTAAACAAGTCAAAGAAGTACAGCTCTTCCGTCAAGCGCTCCATTTCCTCGCCGCGAGGAATCGGCTGGAAGTTCGAGCAGAACAAACCTGCTTCCGACATGTCAATCTCGGTTTGCTTGTCAAAACCAGGAATGATGGCGTCATCGGGACGCTGGAAGAGGCGGTACTCGACATTCTCACTGATCTTCAAAGAAGGGTAGCGAGAGTAGTCAGCCTCGGGTAGGCCCTTGATCTGCTCTCGGGGGACGACAATACTGGCTGTAATGTCATCTTCCATTTGGACCTTGGCCGCCGAGATAAAATCTTGTCGCATCCTGTGATGATGAGGAGGATGACGAGGGAGAGAGACGGTGAGTTACACCTCTGAAAACAACACAACAGAGCAAGCAGTACACCATGCATGATGGACAAGGACTTACTTGTAATTGCGCCAAGTACCATCGCGGTTGTGCCCGACACGAAGATACGAGCCAACGAGTTGACGCTCATTTAGCTTCAATTCGTGCCCAGGGACTCCGTTGGTAATGTCGACCGTGAAATGTGATTTCCAGTTGTCCCCCATTTCCGGACGGTAGCTTGATTTGATGGCAAAGACAATGGCCAGGATGTGGTTGGGGATACTCTCCACAAAAGCATTATGCTCGGGAGTAAAGACATCATCGGTTGTCAAAAGCTTGATGACACTTCCCAAGGTCCTGTTGAACAAACAATGAAAGAAAAGCAAGAATGGTCAGACAACAACTCGGTAGACAGAAGGAGTGGTTCAAACATTGCAGTGCTTGCTTCATTGATTGCTTACCTGTCCATGCTAAGAATTGGGCGGGATGGATCGGAATGTCCTTCCTTGAATTGTGGTAGGATACAGCTGCTGTAGTCCCTGTCAAAGATCTCCTTGACAAGCTGCATGTCCTTTTCATATTCACCAATAAAGATGGGTCCATGCAAGACCGCGTCGCTGAGCGACTTTGAGATTTCTGATTTGCCTCCACCGCTGACGGTAGATGGCTTGTGACAGAAGGTGGGCTCAGCCAGCGTTCCTACGAGCCGCCATTTGGGTACGGTTGGATGACGTCCTGTTGAACAACAATGAAAGAAAGCAAGAATGGTCAGACAACAAGTCGGTAGACGGAAGGAGTGGTTCAAACATTTAGTGTTTGCTTCATTGATTGCTTACCAACAAACACCTTGTACCCCGAGGGATGTACGTATAGGTGGTTTGGCTTCAAGCGCAAGGACTCAAGTTTGTTGGTCTTGCGATTGGTGAATGTCGCCGTTTGGGTATGAACATTGAGCTGCATGTCTTCGGGCAAGATGTGAATGTCCGGGAAGTGCTTGTCGGTGGCATATCCTTCGGGGTGCAATGTGACGGTGTCGCCGAGGAGCTTCAAGGCATCTTCAAACTTGTACGTGTTGGGAGGTGCCGTCTTGGGGACAATGGTCTGCATGTATCGTGGGTTTGCCTTGAATTTTTCTCCAAGGTTGGTGGACTTGAAAGCGAGTGCTCCACCAGCGTGTTCTTCCTCGGCCAAACCAGTGACATTAGCTGTCAATCCAATCTGTGTCTTGACTTCCTTCTTGCAGTATCCAAAGTAGTTGTCGGCCAAGATGGTGACCATGATTCCACGTTCATCGCGCATGGTGATCTTGAATGGTTTTCCTCCGTTGTATAGTTCGGCCGGATCTTCCCAGCACATACCGGTCCTCTTTTGCTCATCGGTGGCATCCTGGATATTGGGAAGTCCTAGTTCCTTTTTGATGGTCTTTCGTAGATGTGGCGCGAGGATCACACATCCAGTGGTTCCGGTCCAGTGGGCAGTATCCAATCCGCTGTCATTTTCAGGAAGCGAGGGATCTCCAGCATTGCCAAAGATCGACTCGACGAAGTCGAGGTTGGAAACGCAGCCACCGGGAACAAAGAAACGAACTTCTAGGCGCTTCTCCGCGTTGACTCCAGGGACTTCAGGACAAGCCAAGGGACGAAGGAGGAGTGAGACCATGGTTTCGGCAGGGGTTTCCCACTCCGAGGTGTAAGGGAGCGTGTTGAGGTCCGCGGGAGGCTTGAGTGCCGTCTTCAAGAGCCTCTGGTAGGTGACGAGAGGGACCTTGATTTTGTCGGCGGGGATGGGCAATCCGTAGTCAGCCACGTGGAAGACTCCCTTGGTGGTACGCTTGTCGTTGATGGGGTTGTGCAAGACACCGTTCTTGGTCAAACGGTAGGAGTCAATCTGCACAGGAAATAAAATAAAAGCATAACATTGAAAGTGAATAAAGTGCATGTACGTGGTAAAAAAATCAGGTTCAAGTTGGGGTGAATGCTGCATGCTTACCTCACTGTTGTGGAACTCATTGGCTCCTTGAGGGAAGGACAATTCCCTGGCCAACCCGTAGCGATCGACGGGCAAAGTTTGCTGAGGCAACTGGGGGATTTCATCTCCAGTGGAAGCCAAAGCGTCGTTCAAGAAAGCCTGAATACGCTGATCAATGGGAGGACGGTAGTTCTCCAACAAACGGCTTTGTTCACGGTAGACCCTGAAAAGATCAGAGGCCACATCCAAAATCTCGTCATCCTTGGCAGCTTTCTGGTTGCTAAAGCCCTGAGCTGCCAACTTGACAGAAATCACACGCTGAAGAGCAGCAGGATCCACCACGGGGGCTTGGCCACCTATTGATCACAAACATAAAATAGAAACGAACAAAAACAAAGACAAAAAACACAAAGTCAGAAAAAAATCTTTCACACCAAACCAACTCGTTTGATTCAAGTGAAGCATCCGGCAGACTGACCTTCCTCGCTCAAACCAACGTAACGACCAAGTTCGGGCTTCTTCTTATCGGCTACCACCATTTTCAATTCCTTTTATTGTTTCTTTAATTTCTTCCTTTCGATTATTCTTCGTTGATGCAAACTCTTTGTTTGGTTTTGTGTGCTTGTGTGCTTGTGTGGTGGTGCTGCCATCGGAACGCTTTCAACTTTCAAAGAGGCTTCTCGTTGATGGGAAGGGTATCTTTGGTTGGCTTGCTTGAGTGTTGGGTTCGCATCTATCGTGGGAGACGATCTTTGCTCCACGAGTTCGTGTTGGCTCTGTGAAAAAGCAGAACATTGAGGAGCGCCAAAGACTTTCTATAGTCAATCAGTACACATTGCTTCCTTCAATTGTCTGAAGAATGTGCGGAACCACCTTCACCACGGAAGGAACTTGGGGAGCATTCGCATTCACAAGTCCTGCAAGCACGCCCATTCTCAGCCGGGTGGCCAAATACAGTACATCCGCAATTTTCTTGGATCGTGTCCTTCAAGAGTTCGCTTCAACTTGCAAGGCAGAACTGGTGCCATCTTCATCACCATCAGCCGGGCCCCTTGATGCTTGATGGAGGAGGAAGACAAAGGATCCAACACCACAAGTGCAAGGGACAAAGAAGCTTCGCAGATTTGTCTCAAAGACAAGTTTTGGGGGACTTGTGAGGCCATTTCACCTCGATTGGGCTCCACCCAAAACGTCAGTCGTCAGAACTTTGCCTCGGGCTGGGTGGCTGGATATCGATCCATCTGGCTGCCTCCATCAATAGCTGTCCGGGATATTTACCACCTGTATTGGGTTCTGGCTATGCTAGCCTGCAATTTCCCTCTTACTTCTGAAGCTTCGGATAGTCTAGATGTAGAAATCGAGCAGGCCGGTACATGTAATAGACCAAGTCTTGTCCTCATGGAACAAACAAATCGATTGAATCATTCCACCGTAGTTTTCAGCGTTTCCCAAAAGAATTGGCATTCCTAGTAGCTTTCGGAGGAGAAAAGACACGGGTTGCTGCCCTTCAAAGCAGTGTATCCCGCAATGAAATCCCGGCGACAACGATCTCGGTACCGCTACTTGCGTTTGGCTCGTCTATCCGTACCATGATGTGCAGTTTTGATAGCCAGCACGTGCGTTTTGCTCATCGTCTACCGGTACCGATACGATACCATGTGCTGGTTCTTGGCTGGTGATTGCATGAACTGGGCTATGGTACTCACGGACTCAATCTCAACAAACTCTAGAGGCAACCCTGCAACCAAACTCCAAAGTCCGAGCATCGCCGTCAAACCAGGCTGGATATACGAGAGTAGACTACGTGCGGATTCAGATTCATCGAAGAATAGTAGAGTGCTGGTAGCCAGATTGAGAAGCGTGGTGGCGCAGGAACGGCACAACGATGCAACAAGTCTGCGTATCTCGAAGGTACTATTACTCCCACGATGCATCCGTTGCGGGCTTGTCGCTAGTAGTATCTTGACATCAATAGCACCGACATCAACAACGTCATTGGTCTGCCCAATGGAATGGAACTGCATGTTTGGTTAAGATTCGAATAGTCTTGTACGCGACTTGGGCTTCCATGGCAATAAGCAGTTCGATGCAGAACAGAACATGTATATACGGCAACGATTCGATTCAACTAATCGCATTGCTGTTGGACATGCATCCTGCAGTCTAGCTACTAAATACAGCGATACTTCTTCTCACTTCGTTATTCCGTTTACAGACGCTTCCCCCGAACCGTGCCTCGAATCCTACTCGACTGTCGCGATGATCTGGATACTCAAACCTTCGCGTTGCGCTGCGCTGCGTTCAGACGACGTCGTCGTCATCAGTGGCTAAGAGCCCTTGCAATTGCTAGCACTTCGATTGAATCATTCAGTGACGCCAGTAGAGCCGCTCCCATATTGCTGTACTCTGGAGATACCCGACGTGATTCCCCGTTTTGTACCACCACACCTTGCTCCGCAGGACGAGTACTATTGCTGAGGGTCCTTACACTCAATGCGTTGCAAGGACGACGTCGATGGCTGGCATTGATGTTCTTGTCGACTTTGCTGCGCAAGTTTCCATAGTTGATACAGTTTGACCTTGAGATCTTTCATTCGGATGGGTTTGGGAAGCCAGTCATTGAACCCAAGCTCCTCATAGTCAGACCGCCCCATGCTTGCCGTCAACCCAAAAATCGGTAGGTCAGTGTATCCCATCGATCGCAGTCGTTTGGTTGCCTCAAATCCATCGCACACCGGCATCTGCAAAAGGAAATGAGAACGTGAGACCCTTATAGTTGGCTTGCCTTCAAGAGCAGAAAAACACAACTGCTACATACCTGGATGTCCATCAAGCAGATGTCAAACTGATCATGACCGCTCTTCTCAATCATTTCAATCGCTTCCATCCCATTCTCAGCGACTGAAGCTGTATGACCCATGCGACGAAGCATATTGACGACAAGCTTCTGGTTGACCTTGTTATCTTCTGCCACTAGGACATTGAGCCCAATCTGTTTTCTGGCTGCACTTCCAGAGCAGCTGCCATGGGTGCTTCCATTTTGGGTCGAGACAGGAGAAGATTGTGGTGCACCACAGCTGGAGGTGCTAGGCGATGCAGGGGCTGTAGGGAGAGTCATTTCATCTTCATCCATTTCACCTGCAAGATCCTTTTCGGTTGGCATGACTGCTGGCAGAACAAACCAAAAGCTGGTTCCTTTTCCTAACTCACTTTCCACTCCCATGGTTCCCCCCATCATTTGCACCAATGAGTATGAAATACTTAGCCCCAATCCCGTTCCACCGTAGTTTCTGGCAATGGTGGCATTGGCCTGCTGATACTTTTGAAAGACGATCTTTTTGTGCTCTTCACTGATTCCAATACCTGTGTCGCTCACAGTGAATTTGACCATTGGCTGGTCGGTGTCGTTGTTTGCGGAAGTGGTGTTGTCGCGTCTCTTTTGTTCCTGATGGCTCCAATCACTGCTATCGTCCAAATTGCCATTGAGGTAGCAGGCCCTGACTGTGATGCCACCCTTCTTTGTGAATTTGACACTGTTTGAAAGCAAATTGAGCAGAATCTGTCTCAGACGATTGGGGTCGTTTTTGAGTTTGAAAGGTATGCGGGTATCCCAGTCCAGTTGTAGGTAGAGACTTCGTTCTTCACAACCAGCTCTAACAGCTTCAATGGATCCTTTAGTGACAGAGAGTGGTTCATAGGGGATGTTTTCCAATTTCATGTGTCCAGCTTCCAGCTTACTGTAGTCAAGTACATCGTTGATGACGGTCATGAGCCCCTGCACAGATGCCTTGAGTACTCCCACAAATGACCTCTGTTCCTTGTCAAGTTGTGTTTGGTCGAGAAGGTCCACAAATCCAGTGACTTGATGCAGTGGAGTTCTAACAAAATGGCAGGATACATTGGGTTAGCTAGCTCGTGCACCATTGAAACATGCTTTTGCTTTGTTCTTTACTGGTACTCACCTGATTTCATGTGCCATGATTGCGAGGAACTCTGCCTTTTGTTCTCTGGCTCGTTTTTCTTTTCTCGCTTGTACAGCATCAGATTTGTCTTGTGCATTGAACAAGAGGACAGATTCTCCAGTGATTGGGTCCGTAGATTGTCTGACTTGAATAGCAGACCACGTAGGTCCCCTTTGTGTGTGTAGCATAGCTTCCAACTTGAGGCAACTCTGTGAGCACTGTGTATTGTCAAATGCTTGTTGTATCTGATGTAGGAACTTTGTGCCCACCATTGGATCAACAAATCTACTGAGTAGACTTCCGTCAGCTTTTTTTCTTTTTTTGTTGGTGGATGTGGTGGTGGTAGAGTGGGTGCGTTCTGACGAGTCGGCTGCCATTGCGGCAGCAGCCGCTTCCAAATTGAGAGCGGAGGAGAGCCGTTTGCTCCTGCGTCTTGTAGGCCTTCTGTGTGTACATTTGGCAGAGGATGACGTTGAGGTTTCATTGTCAGTGCAATTACTATCTGTGGAAATACTCCGGTTGCTGCCTCTCCTCCTTTCTGTTTTTGTCTTGTCTTTGCTGTCTTTTTTTGGTTGGTTTTTGTTTTTGTTTTTGTTTTGGTCTTGGTCTGCTGGTTCAGCTTTAGATTCTGCTTGTTGTTCTTGTTCTGGTTTTTCTGGTTGTTCTAACTGTTGCTCTGTTTCTTCTTCTAGCAAGCAAGCCTCTGGATTCTGGAACATACAGTGTCCCTTCATGTCAAACTGGCAGACGGCAATAGGCAGGTGTCGCTGTGTGAGCATAAGATTAGATAAAGATAAGTGAATTCAAAGCAATGAGTGTGAGATAGTGATTGGTTGTGTTTGTGGTTTGGTGTGTTGTTTTGTTTTTGTTTTCTTACCAGCATTTCCACTCCTCTTAGGACTTCACTGTCGAGCTTTTTATCCTCAATGGGAACTGCTTCAACGAAAAAACATGCATGCGGCCCCATCTCGCCATCAAGATCATCAAGTAGAGAGATCCCACTGATAGTGACTCTTGCAGTCTTGGCTTGTCCCTTGGGATAGAAAGTCCACTGGTCCACAATTCTTTGCCCCTGTTCAATGGCCGCTTGAATTTCAGCGTTGCGCTTGATCACAGTGTCGCTCATCTTGGAGAAATCTCGACCTTGAAGTTCTTCTAAAGACGAACAATTGAAGTACTCAGTTGCCATTGGATTTCCCCAACGCATTCTCCGCCTGTCTTGAAAGTCAAAAATCCAGACGGGGTGCACCAACAGGTTCATTACCGCTTCCAGCTGGGCTATCGACACGGCTCGATTTGGGTCGTACAACATATTAGTACTTGTACCAGTACCACTTCCTCCTTCGCCACCCGAGTCTTCAGTGGATTGAGGTTCTGCTGTCATGATGTTATACTGCTATTACTAGTAGTGGTTGTCTAGACTGAGAGTAGAGTAGAGAGTAAGAGTTTGCAGATCAAATGTGGCCTTGACACTTGACAGAGCAGAGTTGTGTTGATGCTGTGCGATTGTCTCTTCGTGGTCTTGTGTGTGTTTTGGTGGCTGCGCAATGCTCGCACAAGATGTTGGAGGTTTTGGGAGGGAATCGTGGGGTTTGTGACTTACTCCACAAACCAGCTATAGTACAGGCAAGCACCAGAGTTCGGTTCAGGGGCAGACTTTGACAATGGTATTCGCATCCAGATTACCATTCATTCATTCATTCAAGTAAAAACTGAAGAGAGCAGAGAATAGAGATATAACATACTTTAAAAAAGCCTTGACGGAGCAACAAAGTTTACCAGAAGTCATTAATTAAGTTGAGAAGCTCTTGAGAACACACGACAGTGGACGCACTTAAAGAGGACTGCGGGACTGGGTACAGCTGCAACGTACAGTAAATGTACAAGACCGTTTCGTACGTACCTACACAATAAACTAGATAGCAAAGCTGGGAAAACATCCCGTTTCACTCTCCATTGATTCGAGTCTCCGAGAAAGGCATCAAGCATCAAACCGTACCACAACATGACAAACCAAGCTAAGTCGAGGCCTTGGGCAATGCCTACGTGTACTTTACATTCCAATTTCTGGGACGAAAGCTGGTACCGGTAGCTAGACAGAAACACGTTGTTCGAGCTCTCATGACAGGCAACGCTAGCTAGCAGATTCTTCTTGTATCCGTGCATACCCGTAGCAGCTCCCGTATCTTAGCTAATACACGTAGAAGCAAGACGACGATCTCAGGCAGCCTGTCCTTCACTCTGCAATCTGCAAGATCTGAATACTCGCAAGATGAGATGGAAGCAGCCAGCACCGCGGGTTGGCTGGTTGCTTGATTCATATTCAATCATTCTCAACTCTCCTAAAGCAAGGTTGCCAGTGGTAGTACCAAACAGAGGATCCTTGCCGACTGAACCAGTCGAAGCCAAGACTGGATAAGTGGAGAACTCTACACGAGGACAGGTGCAAGCCATACCGGTACCGGTAGATTTGGAGCAAGGAAAAAGACGTCAATCTGTAGCAAACCACTGGTAGCAGCAATGTAAGGGATCATTCCTCTTGCTCGAGGCAGCGAGCTTGGTGCCTGATATTATCGGAGCGAGAACTAAGGGCACAAGCTTCGGTCCTGATTCGATTCCCACGGCCTGACAATTGCTGATGACAAGCTCACGGAGCAAGCTAGCACCTCCAGCAGAACGTTCCCCAAGAGGATGCTTGGTGAGGTTCACCGGTACAGTTAGTTGTTATCTTGGCTACCGGTACCGGTACGGTATCAGTAGCTAGCTAGTAGGACAGGGAGTATACCAGTACCGTTGCCAATGGAGGGAGGTTCCGCCACTGCCGCGCGCACCTCCTTTTGACCTCATGCTGTCCTAAATGATGTCACCGTGCGAAATTGCTTGCGTTTTCCTCTTTTAGGGCGCGAATGTGGAGTCTACAAATATTATGGGAATTGGTTCTAAGTGACGAAAGCACCGGTATTGGAAGGTTTGGTATTTAGACAACAGGTCTATAGTTTTTCTCAGAGTCATCGATCCTGCCGGAGTGCGCCACAGCGAGAAAGGAGCGAGTGATGACCAAAAACTTCGAAAGTCTCATTTGTTTGTTGAAGACTACCAGGGATACCGGTAGCACTTGTAAGATGATTAGTAAATGCAAGATGAGCAGGATGTGGATGCTGGTGTTTGTCTTGTTGGCCATTACTATTACTAGTGTGGAAGGGAGAATTCGAGGCGTGCGAAAGTCAGTAAAGTCAGGCAAGGCGCAAGAAGGTCGAGATCTCCAGGGACTTCCGGTACTAGTCGGATTTGGAGGAGAACCAGATCCAGCTCGGTTTCCGCTTGGCTTGTGTCAGGGAGATTGTGATTATGATTGGCACTGTGATGAAGGACTCGTGTGTTTTCAACGCAATAAAAATGATGTTGTGCCCGGGTGTCGCGGCGGAGAGACCTTCGATGCCGACACCGACTTTTGTGTTCCCGCAACTCCCACAACTCAGGCACCATCTCTGCCTCCTGTGGCCAGTGCCTTTGAGGCTCCTACCACTGCTCCCACCTTTGCTCCCACCTTTGCAGACACTGACACTGACACTGAAACTGCTGCTCCCACATTCACTCCCACTGTTCCAGACACTCAGTCACCAACTCAGTCACCAACCCAAGGGCCCACAGTGGCTCCTACTGATGTTCCTACTGGTGGCACTGATGATCCCACAGCCAGTCCTTCACAGACACCAACAGAATCACCATCCATTCAGCCATCCACTACTCCATCAGAATCACCATCCCAAGCGCCTACCTATCTATACCTAGATCTTAACATCACCCATGGATACTTGCCACCTCTCGTCTTTGTGGGAGATCAAGTTTTTGTCAATCTCAGGCCACTCGGACTTTGTAGAGGTATGTGCCTGGACCATACCTGTACACAATTCAACTCTTACAGAAGAATGGAATCTCACCATCTTTCTGTGCTTATTCCTTCCCAACAACTTAGGTGATTGTGATGCTGGTAAGTCATGACATGTTCTTTCCATGCTCTCAAAATCTCTTATGATTCTCACATCAGGCGTTGTATTTTCCCTCTTTCATTCTGTCTGTAGACCAGGATTGTATTGATGAACTCGTCTGCTTTCAACGAGACCTTCTCGAGCCGGTCCCCGGATGCTCAGGAGAGGGATTGGTATGTTTCGCCGTCGCATTATGACAGTCAATTGGTCACTCTTTTTGTTAAAGAAACTTGACTAACTAACTTGGTCGATCTATTTCTTGCTGCTTTCTCTTCTTGCTTTCCGTTCCGTTGCTTTTTACGTACCACCGGTACAGGCAAGCATTGATTATTGCGTCAAACCCTACAGCTTCAACGCCTCAGACATGACCGACCCACCCTCAAACACCATGGTGCCAACCACGCCACAGGTTACCACCCCACCAGCGGAAACTAACCCACCCGTGCAAGAGGATCCTAACTTGCCTAAACTAGAAACTATCGGAGACAATCCCACCATGGCATTGGGACTCTGTCAAGGTAACGTGAAGAAACACAAAATCTGTTGTCCAATAACAAGCAAGTCAGTCCAGATGGCATGCAAACTCACCAATGGATCATTTCCCATTCCAACACAGGTGATTGTGACACTGACGAAGACTGTCTTGATGAACTCTTATGCTATCAGAGAGACTACCAAGAAATGGTACCTGGATGCTCTGGCCGGGGAGAGACCAGGTTCGTATGCACGGTACAAATGGATGCTCTTAGCGAACACAATACGTGGCTCGTCTCTCATTCTTGTCTCGATTCTCGTCTCAAAATTTCATTCAGTTACGACTACTGTGTATCTCCACTCGGGGGAAGTTACGGGTTCGCCGTGGGAGAAGTCGTGGCATGTACATTGGACGTACTCTCGTGTCCCGACGGAACCACCCTATCCAGGGTTCCTCCGGCTTGCGCGTTCCCAGAATGCCCTGAAGTGGAGGAAGTCGTTTGTTCCATGGATATGCGAACCTGTCCGGATGGTTCCTTCGTAGGAAGGACTGCACCTGACTGCCAATTCGATGAGTGTCCCAATGACGCAGTTGCATGCACCATGGAAGTCATTCAGTGTGAAGATGGAAGCTTTGTTGGAAGGACTGGGTAAGCACCTCTGCACATCGTGTTTCGACGAGTTCGCGACTACCTCTTTTGGTGCAGTGATCTCATCATTCGATTCCGCCTATTCCTGTTTTTAACGTGCTGCCTATTTTGTGTTCTTCAATCCACAACTACGGTACCTCCATGCCGTATCTGCCAACACAAAAAAAAAAATTGAAACAGACCCGACTGTGACTTTGACATTTGCCCAGAGACTGTACCGATACAATGTGGCACGGAAATGTTCTCTTGTCCTGACGGAACTCTCGTGGGCCGAAGTGAACCTGATTGCGCTTTTGATCCTTGTCCAGGAGGCGCCGTCATCATTGTCAGTGGAGAAGACGAACTGACAAACACGTTGACCATCTCAGTGGTACAGATTGTATTGGGTTCCACTATCCATACAACGTTGGTTTCACTCATCGCTCAGGCGATCCTCGTGGGTACACTCAACAACGAAGGCCCGTTCACTCTGGTACGTACTTTTTAGTATTGCACTTGTATTCATGTCTTGCTCCACTTACTGTAACACTCAACGTGCCTTTTTCTGATGAACCCTGTCATTTTCGATAGTTTGCACCCACCGACACGGCTTTCATTCTCAATGGCATTGACGACAAGTACACGACAGCAGATTACAGCCAACACTTGATGAACATTCTCACCTACCACGTGGCCTACGGAAAGATTACATCCAGCGACCTGACGTTGGGGCCAATCATGATGTTAAATGGAGAGGAGGCGCAAATTACAAGTCTGTCACCACCCATGATCAACGATGCCCATATTGTGACACCTTTTGACATTGAAGGCAATAATGGAGTTATTCATTCTCTCGATTCAGTTCTGAAACCATCTTGCGTCACTGACAGCATCGTTGACATTGTTTCGCAAGACCAATCATTCAGTATCTTGTACACCATGATCACGGCAGCGGACTTGATCGGCACGCTCCAAGATCAGGGCTCGACATTTACACTCTTTGCGCCCACAAATGACGCATTTGGAATGCTTTCAGCTGATACTGTTTCGTACTTGACGTCTCCAGAAGGAAAAGCCGAGCTCGTGGAGATTTTGCTCTACCACGTGACTGTTGGAAACCTGTACGAATCGACGTTGGATGAAGGCGACATTTTGATGGTTTCTGGTGACACTGCGACAATCATGTTGGGACCTCCAATCATGATCAATGATGCGATTGTGTCTGGAGACCAAATCTTGGCATCCAATGGAGTGATCTATCCCATCAACAATGTCATTTTGCCGCCCGAGGAACCCGGCGACAATCCGCTGGAAGAAGACGTCACGACTCCTCCAGTGACAACCGTACCGGTAACGGCGGCTCCAGTAACGGCCCAACCTGTCTCTGCTGCCCCAGTCACAGCTGCGCCCATCACGGCACCTCCGGTTTCAGCGGCTCCAATTACAGCTCCTCCAGTCACGGGTACGTGTGCTCGCTGCGTTTTGTCTTTCGTGCCGATCCATGCATCTTTGGGCTCACCTGTTTTGTTTGCGTGTTTGTTTGCTTGTTTGCTTGTTTGCTTGAAACCTCTCTTTCTGTGATCCCAGCGGCCCCTGTGACGGGAGTTCCATTGACGGCGGCGCCTGTGACTCCCATTCCAGCTCCAATGCCGACACTTCCTCCTGCATCTACCACGTATCCTCCGGCAGTGGTTGTGGTGGTTGTTGGAGCCCAAGAGGCACCTGGTTACACGGAAGAGCGTCCGCAGTTGATGGTGATGGATAGCAAGGACGAAAAGAACAATAATGGCGGCAATGGCGGGCTGGGTCTGTGTCAAGGAAGCTGCAAGAAGAATTCTGATTGTGCTCCGGGTCTGTTTTGTTTCTCTACGGATAGCGAAGATGATATTACCGAGATTCCAGGATGCTCGGGAAGGCCGGACAGTAAGTGATGTGATTGTTGCACGTGCACGTCATTGGAAGCTGCTAGCTAGTCGACTCACCATTTCCATCCGATCGCTCTTCTTGTGCACCCTGATTGATTTGAATCCTTTTCTCTGCAGTCGGCGAAGATTACTGTATTCGCTTGCCAAATTAATTGCTCGATGCTCGATGTTAGATGCTCGATGAGATTAGGTTGATGGATACCGGTACACGACTCCGCATACCTGCACCGTTTCTATGTTCAGATTTTTTAATACTGCTATAGTAGTAAGGTTGTTGTTGGGAACTTGAGTGAAGGTGCTACCAGTATCTGGCTAGCTAGCTACCGTAGATTCTAGAGTGGAACTGTCGCCATCCCTTTTGACTGTCTTGTGTCTAGTAGTAGCTAGCTACATTTAGGTGTACTTGGTACCGGTGGACATGTCATCGCGGTCTGAAGCGGTGAAGCGGTGTAAAGATCTGAAGATTAGATCTCGAACCCTAACCAAAGCAAGTATTCAACGGACACCCAGTCAGGGATCCAAGATCCAAGAACGATATCCAACACAGCAAACAGGAAAGAGGAACGGCAAGATCTTCACACATTGTTCTTAGTCTAGCTAAAGTAAAGACATCAGATCAGATCAGATCAGATCAGCTATAGCTATATCTAGCTATATTAGATATAGGATGCCTCCCAAGAAGCGCAAGGCTCGTTCACCTGCAGGCCGTGGTGCCAAGAAGAAAGCAGTAGAGGAAGAGCAAGAGCAAGAGGCAGAGGAGGAAGAAGTTGCTTCACATTCCCCACCTCCCAAGAAGATCAGCAAGAAGGAAGAAGCTAGATTGAAGAAAGAGGCAGAGAAGAAAAGGAAGGAAGAAGAAGCTGCTGCCAAATCCTTGGAGGAAAAGAAAGAGCAGCTTTCAAGGGTCACTGCTGTCTTGAAAGATGCGTCTTATGCTGCATCTGATGCTTGTCCTCAAGCCATTTTTGTGCAAAGTGATACCTGCTCCACTAGTAGTACTAGTAGTACTGGTAGCACCAACACCAATGACCAGGTCAACGACCCTGTCGTGCCCCGAGCACTCTTGAATGCCGTACAACGGCGAGATCTGGAGCGGGCTCGAACAATCATACACCAAGCTCGTTACCGGTATGCCGTTGATGTTGATGTTGATGCTGCTGGTAGCAGTACCGGAAACACGGGGGTGACGTCGACGTGGAAACTACCATTTCCTTGTCCAAAGACGAAAACCACAAACAGCTCTGCACTCACCGTTGCACTGGCCAATGATCACATACCAATGGCAGACCTACTGGCTCAATACTTTGGTTGGTCCTCCGCACTTAGCAACACGGCCCTTGCAGCAGCTCTCCTTCCGCCGTCAAAGCCTCAGGGATGTTCCGATATATTGTTCCAATTCCTCATACAACACAAGGATCCCGCAGTCGCCAATGCCGTGGCCGATTCACTCCCATATCTTGCTAACGAAGCCATGAAACGCGGAAAGATCACCTTTGTTAGAAGGGTTCTTCGTCATTGCCTGGGATTACCCTTTATGGATGCCGACCTAGCAAAAACACCCACCAATCTATTAATAAGCTTACGCGACAATACCACGGGGACCCTTGGAGTTACGCCGTTGCATCTGTTGGCCTTGGAAGCCACTGCTGGTACTGATACTGATACTGGTACTGGTACTGATCCATCCACTACTACTATATTCAAGGGATTCAAGTTGGACCAAAAGACCACCAATGCGCCCGCCTTGAACCAATACATCACACCTCTCCATTTAGCAGCCTTGTCGGGAAATTTGGACACGTACAAGACGCTACAAGAAGCAGGGGGCGATTGGACCATTCACACCAACGAAAGTTTGTATTGTCTCAACTTTGCGGCTGCAGCGCCACCGTCACCATCGCCGTCATTGTTACAGCAAAACGTAAAGCAAGAAGAAGACGACGACCAGGGGGGCGAACAACCCAAAAAGAAAAGGGCAAAGCGAGGAAAACAAAACAAACAACAAAAGTCGAACGACGACGCCATGGACGAGGGCGAGGGCGAGGACGAGGACGAAAAGGCTGCCGCGGACAAGCCAAAGTTTTTCCAAGAATTCGTCGACACGGTCCGTCCTGCCGATACTCTGAGATACATGACAACGCCTATGGAGGACGAGGATCTGGCACACGAATTCAATCACTCTTTATCCAACGCCAAACGGAAAACGCTGAAATCTGCAATTGAAGCTGGAAGACATCACAATGTTGCTTGGCTCATACATTCGCTCGCCTTGGAAGAACCAAAAGAAACGACCAAATGGTACAACGTCAACGCAGAAATGGCTGTTCTGCAAGCCGTCATACAACACTCTGACGATCCTACCATGCTCGCACTCTTTCTGGCACAGCCAAAGTTCCGATCCACATTTGTGTCCGAGGGAAAAGATTTCGTGGGATCGGCAGTCAATCATTTGCGAAGCAAAGTCGTCGGTCTCATTGCAGACGAATTCAAAGATCTCAAAGAAGCCGAACGCGCCACCTTGGAATTCACGCCAGTGCATTTGCAACTTGCCATTCAGAACGAGAGCTTGGAAATGGTCAAGGCAATTGTGGCGCTCGGTGTGGACCCCAACTCACCAGAAGTTCCCAAGTCGGCGTTGCACGTCGCCTGCGGAATGGACTTTGTCGAGTGTGCCAAGTTCCTGCTCGACGAATGCGGGGCCAATCCGAGAGCCGTCACCTCGCCTCAAGGCGTTAGTGTAATGCAGGCAGCGTGTCGCGGCGCAGCTCTCGGATGCATCCAACTACTGCTGGACAAAGGAGTCTCCCTCGACTTGAAAAAGGAAAACGAGATACTCCAAAAGCAAAAGGAGCAAGACGCCAAGAACAACAGTGATGACAAAGACAACAATAAAATGGAGACGGAGGAAACATCGCCATTCGAGGGATGGTTCATGGTTTTGACTGGAGTCTTTAGTGTGTCGAAAGACGTCATTAAGAGTGTCATCGAGAGCCAAGGAGGCAAGGTCCAACCACAGGTCAATGGAAAGACAACGCATTGCGTGTATTCAGGCAAAGATGGATATAGTGACTACGGCCAAAAAATGGGGCAGGGTGACAAAAAATATACTGCAGCCAAGCGAAAAAAGCTGCCCTTCCTCAACGAAAACGACATACTTCGGTATCTGAAACGGACCGGGCAAGGCATTGCCTCCCACGAAACCAGTGGCAACCTATCTACGGGAGACGACAAACAAGCAACTCAGGAGGCTTCTTTCTTGCACGATATCATCAAAAACTGTGCCAACAAGCATCGTGTGTTGCCAGCTGTGAGAAAGTTGCTGGAACACGGCGCCGACCTTGAATTCAAAAATGATACTGGAAGAACGCCTTTTCACTACGCGGTTCTCTACCTCCCTGAGTGCGAATCCAACGTGCAGTTGCTGACTGTTCTCGATCCCAAAGGCGACTTGACAAGACGGTTTGACAAGAACGGTTGCTCTCCAATCTTGGAAGCATGTACACTGCACAAATGGAAGTTCGTGCTTCTGCTGCTGCACCGAATGTCAATCTCGAATGTCAATATTTTTATGGCTGAGCCAGAAAAGGAGCCGCAGAAAGAGGAGGAGCCAAAGGACAAGGAAAATGAAGGCGAGAACGACGAACCTCAACAACCACCCCCAAAGCCCAAATATCAAAACAAGTGGACTGGGTGGAGCTTGGGTCATTTGCTTCTTGTCAATGGAAAGACAGAGCTATTCCAACAGTGGGTGAAGCTAGGTGGAGATGTGAACACAGTCACTCGCACTCCAGACGCAACACCTTTGGTGGTCGCGTCGATTTGGCAGCCTGAAATTTGCCGAATGCTGCTAATGAACCCTAACTCAGACTCGGACTCGGATTGCAACGTGAATGCCACAACCGCTAACGGGAAGTCGCTTCTCCACGCAGTTTTTGGGGGTGTTCAAATCGGGAAAAAGCTCACAGCGGAAGAAGAAAGCCAATACAAGCAGCAAGGAATCGTGAAACCTCATGTGTGGACTGCTCGTTCAAGCGAGGCGTCTATCATCCAGCTGACAAACATTTTGACGTGGAATCCCGACCTAGATGCTTCGCTGAAGGATGCGGAAGGGACGAGCGTGTTTCATGCTGCCTGTGCTTCCGAGAGCGCTACAGCCTGCGTGCGAGCCCTCCTCAAGAGGAATCGAGCTATTCTACACACAGTGGACGGCCTTGGGAATACGCCTTTGGCGATCTCACTTTTGAACTCCAAGCTCAATGTGTCTTTGTTCCTCATGGACCAGGTAAGAACCAAAACAGCCACCCACTCAAGATTTGCTCTAGCACTTTGCTTGACTAGCTAGCTCATACTGAACTTAATCTCGACTCGTCTCATCTTATTGTCCACCTTACTTGCCCGCCTTCTCTAGGGTGCAGATATAAATGGATACGTCTACTGGCGCAAAAGCAAGAACTACGAAGCAAACAAGCAACAAGACGGAAACAGCATTGGCAATTCCCCGAAGAATGCTGCTCGCGCTCGATCGCGAAATCAGACGAATCCCTTGGGCGATGACGACGGGGAATCTGTTGATGAAGAGAGATTGAGACTTTCATTTTACAGCTACGTTATGTTGATGGATTTCACGCCGGACGTGGTGTACACTATGCTGAGCCTCCCATCTTGCGACATGGATGCGGCTCTTCAATCTTCCATCACCATGGGCAACCTCACCTGGACGGAAAGATTGATTCGCAGCGTCAACGCGAAGACTCCTGCCGTGGCCGGGAAGTACGTGCGACTGCTGTTTGCCTGCAAAGCTTACCCGACTATTCCACAGCAAGAACGAATGCTTCAACTGAGCAAGATACTAGTGGCAAATGCCGGTGGGATGACCCTTGACACCAGCGAAGAAACCGGATACAATGTAATTCATACAGCAGTGGCAGCCAAGATGATCATGTCTGTGCTCGAGGGACTGCTGAAATTGCTTGACAAAGACTCCGTTGAGGCTTTGCTGTCTCTTGACAAGAACAGTCAAACTCCTTTGCACATGGCAGTAGCCGCGAACGGTATAAGTACGGCTCAGGTGATATTGTCGTATACAAAGGAACATGGTGGAGCCGATCGGGTGCAAAATTTGCTCGATACGAAAGATACACAATCGAAGACGGCACTCCACTATGCTGTGGGAAACAATTCTCTCGGGACGTACCTGAGCGGGGCGATGCTTTCACTGTTGGTGCGATACGGATCCAAGATTACCATTCCCGACCAAGACGGATTGACAGTTGCGGCGATTGTTGGGCAAATGCATCCTAGCCAGCTGGATCACTTCAAGTTGGCGTTGTCTGGGAAGGAGGAAGATGGTGAAATAGTAGCATCCGTCCTTCCCAAAGAAGCACTTGAGCAAATCGCTACGACCCAAGCAAAGCGCAAAGAGGAAACCGAACATCGGGAGAAGGAGCAAGAAAAAGACCGGAAGGAGCATGAAAAGCAGTGGACAAGACTGAAGAAGCAGTGGGAGGAGTTCCGTGCAGAGAGATTGAAAGCGAAACCCCTCATCTTTGAGGAAACGAGGAATGCTGCGGCATCGGGTCGCCTTTTCGTTCCTGTCGATCGAACTTCATGTCCGGATCCAATTGCGTACCAGGTGCATATCGGGAGCGATGGCGACATTTATGATGCTCTTCTTGTGACATCTGATCTTCGGTACAACGTGTTTGGAACCAACAGTTTCCATGCTTTGCAGCTTGTGGAACTCACCGACAGCTACAAGAAAAAGCGTGTGGGGCATGCAGCAGCTCTTGCAACAGCACAGCAAAACGAGGCAATGTATGCCTATCGGCTTGGCATGGCAAAGTACAGGGTAGTCGAGCGTTGGGGCAGGATTGGAGAAAGTGGAGGAAAGACCCGAGCGCAAGGTTTCACCGAGCTATCAAAGGCCATCAGCCATTTCGAGAAAGTCTTCAAGGACAAGACGAGAAACGAGTTCTCGGATCGTGAGAACTTTGAAGCAGCACGGGGGGCTTACAACTGGGTCCAGAAAGTTTACGACGAGGCAGAGTCGGCTGATAGCAAAGACCTCACCAACTCAGACGGATCACTTCCAAAGAGTGTCGATACGTTGTTGCGTGCAATTACCTCACTCACCAGAGTGCGAATGGTAAGCATTCTGTTTGTTGGGTAATCGCTTCGCTGTACCCTCTCAAGATTGTCAACGCCCACCTCGTTTCTCGCAATGCCCACTCTTCCCATCAGGACTTGCGCGATGGGGGCTTCGGTGTGGACGATTTGCCTCTTGGACAGCTTTCGCCGAACACTATCTCTGAGGCCTACAAAATCCTCAACGAAATTGAGGCTCTCATGCTGCAACTGAGGGCACTGGAGAAACTCCGAGGCCGGGCGGCACGAGAGAACCGAAGTGAGAAGAGCCAAATCAACAGCAAACTGACTGATTTGAGCAACAAGTTCTACACGACAATACCACACGATTTTGGCAATGTGAACATAGGTTTCCGCAAGCCAGAAGTGATAAACTACAAATCGAAGCTTGAGAAATGCCTCCAAATGCTGGCGTCATTGGAAGATGTCGAGAGCAGTGTCAACCTTCTACTGAGCGTGTCTGCAAAAGACACGCGTTCCCAGCGTCTGCGAAGCATTTACGAGCTAATGGGATGCAATCTCCATGTTGTGACGCCTGGGAGTGACGAGTTCAATCTTGTTGAGCTCTACGCAATTCGTGGCGCAATGGGTCGAAATGTAAAGATTGCTCATCTGCTTCGGGTTGATCGTTTTGAGGATTCCATTCGCTTCGTGCAGCATGAGTCAACACGAGGCATGAACAACAAGAGCGGGTATCCTATGAATCAGTGGTTGTGGCACGGCTCGAAGATGTCGAACTTTCTTGGCATTTTGATGAAGGGGTTTAAGATAGCGCCACCAGAGGCCCCAGCTAGGTATCGCATGTTTGTTGCTGTCATGTCCTGGTTGCATTTTGAATGCCGGCAAAGTTCTCTCACACGTATACATTGTACGTACATTGGTCTCCATGGCAGTGGGTACAATTTTGGCAAAGGCATCTATCTTGCCGACATGTTTGGCAAGAGCGCATCCTATGCTTCTGCACGTCGTCCATACTATGGCAACGGCAATGAGGGAAAGAAGTCTCCGACAGCAGATGTGGACCATTTTCGTGCGATGCTTCTCTGTGAGGTCGCTATTGGCGAACCGTGTGAATTGCGAAATCCGAATCCAGGTCTGACAGAGGCACCTGAGGGATATGACTCCGTCCGAGCACTGGGGAGACAAGCACCAGATGGTTCTGGGATGTTTCTCACCAAAGAAGGTGTTGGTGTGCCCCTTGGAGAAGTGAAGATGGCCCCAGAGTCTGCTGCTGTGATGGGTCATAATGAGTACATTGTTTATGATGAATCCCGTGTCCGCATCAAGTATGCGATGCTGTTTGCGTGAGAGTCAGAATAGAAGATAGCAGGTGCAGACTGGACCTAGCTATAGGTCATAGTCTAATAAACATAGTGTTAGCTAGGTAGCGGAATCACTATCTGAATCTGTACTTATTTTTGCCACCCATCTCGGGGAGGTCAGTATTGCAAGAGAGTGGTCTCATAGATGAAACGTTTCCATCTCTCTTCTTCGGTGTACTGACGGCAGTAGTCCCTTGCTGCAAGCCAGCCTTTTCCTTACGATGCAAGCCCACGTTGCTCATGTCTCGAATGATTATGCCGAAATCCGCATCCCAGGAGTTGCCAAAAAGCCTGTGGTTTCAGTGCAGCTGGAGGACGAAACCAATCCGTCGTCTGCGTGTTCAAGTGCGGACCATGGAGTGGAACTCACCATGGGAATCGCGGTGATTCCCTTCGGGCGACGGACTCCTACCTTCTTCGGTCGGAAGTGTGAAAGCATGTGTCTGGGGCAAAGCTTGTTGGTTGTTGGCTGTCTCTCAGTCTGAGGGGAGAACCACCAACGCTTGAGCTGAGCAGAACAGAGCTCTAGGAAAGACATGACACAGACTCGTGATTGAGTCTGGGAATGGACTCTCCTGACCACCTCGGAGCGGGCGGGCGGGGCAACCAAAGAGCAGTCTTAATACACCAATACAAGAGAGGTGGATCAAGACAAACAAACAATGGGCTCTGCGACTCAAGGTTGATGGTCCTCGTGGAAGAGCACTGGCTGGATGAATCAGATTGGGGACTCTCGTCTGTCCGTATCCGTCTTGGCCAGAGAATCGCTTCACGATTCCCTTCGGCGACGGACTCCTACCTTCTTCGGTCGGAAGAGTGAAAGCATGTGTCTGGGGCAAAGCTGGTTGGTTGTTGGCTGTCTTAGGGTTAGGAAATTTGGAAATTTGGCAAGGGGAAAAGGAGATTTGTGAATGAGCAAAAGGAGAATAGCAATAGCGATAAAGTAAGTAAGTAAGTAAGTAAATAAGCAAGGAAGTAAAAGTAAGTAAGTAAATAGAAAACGTCTTGGAAATGTGAATGGTACAGTGACTGCAAAGGAAAAGGTTCTGGAAAACGAAATGGTACAGCAACTGCAGAGGAAAAGGTTCTGGAAAACGAAATGAAAGAAACACCGACGGATATAGTAACGGCTTTAGAACTGTGAATGGTACACGGATCGGAAACGAATACAGAATGGAATGGAACGGCTTTAGATTTGTGAGTGGCAACGGTATTGAAACAGCGAAGGCTGCTTCGACTAGCTGTATCGGGAAATGCCAAAGGATATTGCGCAGCGGAAGTGAAAACTAAAACATAGTGGGTTCGGTGGATGGGAAATGACCATTGTAACCAGCGAACCGATGTTTGTGAAGGGGAAGAATGAACTGTACATACTGATCGTGAGAACAGAAATTTGGATCATAACATTAGACAGAGGAAATGTATAGCAAACATGAGAATGGGAGACCGGAAAAGAAAGATCAGAGAAGGCAAGGGGAATTAACAAAGTGAAATCCGAGAAAGGAAAAGGAAATGGAACCGTGAAATAGAAGGGACCGAGAAGGAAAGGGAATTGAAATGGAAAGGAGGATAGAAGCGGAATGGAATAGTGCATTACAAAGTACGAAGTAAGTACATAGTAAGTAATCGTAAGGAACGCAGTAATGCGCAGGGTAAGTAACTAACTAAGTAGATAACGGGGGTTAAATTACTCATTTAGTTTAGCTAACTATGGGCCACGAAGTGACTTTTATGACGCGGGCAAGTGGTGGGGAAACCCCCACCTAGCTGAGTCGTCATCCACTAAAATTCTGCACAGTGTCAAATCATTCTCAAGAGTCCCGGATGGGGCCCCCATTAGTGGACAATGCTGCATGGGTGCAGGAGAAGGTGACAAAGGCAGCACCTGGAGCGCGGGGCAATACCCAGGGTTTGAAAAGCATTTACTCGTGGGTCGTAGTTCTTCCAGTCTGTAGGTAATTTTGCATGGATTGTTGAAGTTGTCGTGTAGTTCGGCGGTGGTATGTAGTGCGGAGTCGGCCGTAAGCAGCTCGCGCCAGCTTGATGGTCTCCAGCCAGCGTAGGGTTTTCGGAAGGGAGAGGTTGAGGTTAATTCCGCGGTAGTCAAGGTCAAGGCGCCATCTTTCAGTGGGAGGTAAGGTGGCATCACCTTTGGTGTATTCTTTCAGGACTTCCTGGCGGAGGGTGGAGAGGTGGGAGAGTTGGGTGGGGGTTGGTTTCGCACCGTGTAGGGCATCGTTTCTGTGCTCCCACATTCGGAAGTGGAGCATCCACAGTTCATGTGCCAAGGCAGTTGCCCAGCTGGAGCCATCACCTTGTTTGCCAATGGAGTGTAAGTGGAGCTCGTGGGCAGAGCAAAGTGGGATTGCGATTCTGCCAAGTAGAAGATTCCACCACTTTTTCAAGCGGGAGCCAACTCACAGGACTCCCGCCACTGATTCTGTCAACCAAGATGATAATAAAGATAAACAACAACAACAAAGACACTATAAGCAACACCATCATTATAAAGCTAACTATTACACTATTACAAGCAAGTTTCCTCTTGGAAGCACTCAAATCGGAGCTCTGGATCGTTAGATATCGCACGGAACGTCCTCAGCCACCCATCAGCCACCAACACGTGATTGCGGCCCCGGAAGATCCAGTCATTCCACGTATACCCTGGTACTGTTTCTACAGAGGAGTCATTATCCAAAATCGCAATCACAACCAACAACAAAATCACAAAAAGCAACAAAGACACCCAAGTCCACTCCACCCGTTCAGACGCTGTTTGCCACTCCAAGAAATAGTCCCCGATCTAACTCCTGTCCATAGGAATAGAATAGGAACTGCATCTGTCAGTCGCAACGAGCATCTTAGCAGGCATTCCAAGACGAACGACCGAATCGGAAGACAAGGAACTCATTCTGTTTGCTCAGAAGAAATCGAGCTGACAATCCTTTGCTCAGCCATAGCAAATTACTTTCTGCTCAGTCCATTCTCGACAACAAGAACGATAAAGTCTAGGAGCGAGAGCTCTGGATCCCGTCAGAGATAGCTCCAACAGCTATGCTGGCCTACAGCTCCAGCACCCACAGCTGGCTTATCTCCAGCAAAGCAGCAAGAAAGGATCGCCCTTTCTACCATAGTTAAGAAAATAGTACGGAAGATTGAGACCGATCCTGATTAGCTTGTAGCCCCTTTGATACCGCAGCAGTTGATACCAATCCTGTTGAGGCCGGGCAGAAGCAGTAGGAGGTAGCAGATAGTACTGTTCCCAGACTGCCACTGCACGATTGAATAACGAAGGCCCCCAGCTCCTGAGGAGAGCTGGCCAAAAGGGCTCAGCAGAGAGCTCTGCTGGCCCTCCTGTCTGACTGACAGGGCCAAGTCCTTGGTTTGGGTGCCTACTGGAGGTGTTGGATACTCCTGAGGCACGACAAAGCTCCCTGAACTGCCTGACTACCGCTGTACCTGAGGAAGGGTTTCAGCGAGACCCAGTCCACTACTTGGGTATTGGAACTGAACCTTCAAGAAACTTATTGGATTAACAGTCGCATAGATTTGCAGGCAGTTCTTAAGGGAAGAAGAGACCTCCTTGACGAGAAAAGGATCTCTTCGAAATACAACAATCAGTGCTACAGCTACAGTTGAATTCATTGAATTTCATTGGAATTTGGTGCTGATTTCAAGCCTACTTTTGAAGCCCTAAGTCAACAACCTTCTGATCGATTCTGATAGTTCCAGCCACCACCACAGTGACAGGAACCTTCTTGTTGACGATCTACCAATACCACTACAAGGCCAACACCACCATCATTGCCTTGACAAGGACCTAGATCAACAACAACCTCATTGTCGATAGCGAGTTCCGATACGGTAGGATACCTTAGAATCGAATCAGTCAATTCACTCGGAAGAAGAAGCACTGATCCCATCAAACGGACACCTGGAGTCTCCGAGAGAACACGAGCCTTATTGTTTTCGCACCCATCTTGGTCATCGGACAAGTCTTTTACGTCTCGGTGAACGTGGCTTATCGCTTGTCAATCTTGCAGCGAATTACGTGCTTTATTGGGCATTTGGAGGCTTATATCTTTCGTGATTCCACGGAACCACATCAGGCGTCCGTGCAGTTTTCGTGTGTCACGAGTTTCCGCCCTGGTTAGGGTTAGGAAATTTGGAAATTTGGCAATGGGAAAAAGGACATTTGTGAATGAGGAAAAGGAGAATAGCAATAGCGATAAAGTAAGTAAGTAAATAAGTAAGGAAGTAAAAGTAAGTAAGTAAATAGAAAACGCCTAAGTAAGTAAATAAGTAAGGAAGTAAAAGTAAGTAAGTAAATAGAAAACGCCTTGGAAATGCGAATTGTACAGTGACTGCAAAGGAAAAGGTTCTGGAAAACGAAAAGGTACAGCAACTGCAGAGGAAACTGTTCTGAAATAGGAAATGGAACACTGATTGGAAAGGCACACTGACTGGAATGGATACGGCTTTGGAATTGTGAATGATATAAGGATTGAATTTGCAAACTGTATTGAAATAGCAAAGGGTACTCTGACTGGTTGTGACGGGAAATGGGAATAGCAAACTGGGATTCAAATAAGAAGATAATCGACAGATCAAGTTGGTTCTGGCAAAGGAAATGGCACAGTGGAAATGGAAAGCAACAACCAAAGCAATTCAAAAAGGAAAACAGAAAGGAACAGAGAGAAACAGGAGAATGAAAAGGAAAAGAGAAAGAACGGAGAGAAATAAGAGAATGAAAAGGAAAAGAGAAAGAAGGAAGAAAGAATAGAATAATGAAACGAAAACAGATATGAATAGAAAGTATAGATTGAATGAATGTAAAGAAGTAATAGTGAAGGATGTTACATACTTACTGATTATACTTACTTACTTACTTTATACTTACATACTTACACATTGATATCTACAAGTTTTACTTCAATAGAAGCCGTCTGTAATACATTTGAGTAATATGCCATCGCACATGCAGACTTCTTCATTACTATATATTATATATATTTTTTTATCAATATATACTTACCTATTTAGCTAAGCTTTGAATCAATCGACTACCGAAATAAATAACAGCACGTTCAATGTGATAATAAATAACAGAGGAGTAAAAGATAGTTTGATAAAAGAGTGTTTGTTTGGAGGCGTTCTCGTCGATTTCAGGAAGAATTAAATATTTCTATAAATAGTAATTAAGTAAGTAAATTAAGTTAAGTATAGGGTTAGTATAGGGTTAGGGTTAGGGTTAGGGTTAGGGTTAGGTTAGGGTTAGGGTTAGGGTTAGGTTAGGGTTAGGGTTAGTTAGGGTTAGGGTTAGGGTTAGGTTAGGGTTAGGGTTAGTTAGGGTTAGGGTTAGGGTGTAGGGTTAGGGTTAGGGTTAGGGTTAGGGTTAGGGGTTAGGGTTAGGGTTAGGTTAGGGTTAGGGTTAGGGTAGGGTTAGGGTTAGGTTTAGGGTTAGGGTTTAGGGTTAGGGTTAGGGTTAGGGTTAGGGTTAGGTTAGGGTTAGGGTTAGGGTTAGGGTTAGGGTTAGGGTTAGGTTAGGGTTAGGGTTAGGGTAGGGTTAGGGTTAGGGTTAGGGTTAGGTAGGGTTAGGGTTAGGGTTAGGGTTAGGTTAGGGTTAGGGTTAGGGTTAGGGTTACGGTTAGGGTTAGGGTTAGGGTTAGGGTTAGGGTTAGGGTTAGGGTTAGGGTTAGGTTAGTTAGGGTTAGGGTTAGGGTTAGGGTTAGGGGTAGGTAGGGTTAGGGTAGGGTAGGGTTAGGGTTAGGGTTAGGGTTAGGTTAGGGTTAGGGTTAGGGTTAGGG